ACTTCTTAGTTCGAGGAGATAGGGAGGAAGAAATTCGAAATGAATCTATACGCAAACGCGACTAGATTCATTCCTTGTTCAACCAAAAAAAACTAACTACTCTGCCTTCGCGCAGCACTACCTCCACYAATCTCCTTGTATACTAATTTTCTTCYTGAACTAATCGCGGATTCRAGACCGCCATAGTMCAAAACCCCCATTTCGTACCTTCGTTCGTCCGATCCCRWCGAGAATCAGATGCSCGCAGTGCCTTCCTTCCCGCCATATCCATCACCCCGATACCTYCGCGCAGCRCTTTCTTCCCCTGACGACCAATCTACTAACCTACCGCCCAAACTAACACCATAGTTGGACTCGCACGGCCCTAAAAACCCCCGATTAGGATCTTATTTCACCCGATTCTGTTGGGAATCGGGGAAGATATCGGGTTTACCTCCCTCCACCTCTTCCCACCATCGCCAGTCTCGCGCAGAGCTTTTCCCTATTAACTTGTAACCCGCTAACTGATTGCTAAAACTAACGCTACCATTCGTTTCGCCCGGGGTCAAAACCCCGAGACTGCAGCTTTCGCCCCTCGATCCCATTCACGGTCGAGGGCGCTATGTCCTCTCGACTGCGCCGGCTCATTCTCCCGTAGCTGCGCTGCTCCTTTCTGCGCATGTATCCGGCGCAAAAGATCGTCTAGGTCCATCCTCCCCTCTTTTCCTTCTCCCGTTACTGCGTCCGCCTTCCGTACCCCGGCTTCACTTCTGCCGTTGCCTGCTCCGCTTTTCTTTCTTGCCGCACTCGCCTTTCCGCCCCGTCTCACCAGTCTCCACCCGCCATTCTCGATTCTTCCTACCCCGAATGTATTCGGTGCGCAAATCACGCCCGGATCCCTTCTGCTATTTGCCCTTCCACCCTGCCTCTGGAGTCGGCCCGACCATCGCCCCGCAGTGGCCCGTTACCGCCCCGTCTCACTGTTGCTTTCTTCCTGCTCGGCACCTTAGCGCAGCGGCCCTACCCGACAGCGCCGGCCGGTCTGAGGGAAACTTCGGAGGGAACCAGCTACTAGACAGTTCAATTAGTCTTTCGCCCCTATACCCAAGTCCGATGAACGATTTGCACGCCTGTATCGTTGCGAGCCTCCGCCAGAGTTCCTTCTGCCCTCGCTCCACAACCCCAACGCCCGCTGCTGTAGCACTCCGCGTCCTGCCCACAGTCAGAGAGTACCCCTTTTCTGAGTTTCTCAGAAAGCTCGACTTTTTCGCCCCGCCCCCAATTTATGTGTATCATCCTTGCGCAGGGGCCATGCTAATGTTCTTTGTATCGTTCCAATTTTAACGGCCGTCCTGAAGGAGTCAGGCCACCGGCCTGTGCTGTCTTTCGGCGCCCCCAGCGGGCAGACTCACACCCGCCCCTTTAGCAGCAGACCGCAGAATCAAAGCGCGGCCTTGCTACCCTGCCTGAAACGTGGGCCAAAGTGGTGGCGGGCCCGGCGCAAATCTTGATGGCCGTAACAACTTTTTCAAATGAGAGCTTTGAAGCCCGATAACGGGGGAAAGCCCTGCGGGCATACTCACCCCCAAACCTCACACAGCAGGTCGTGGTTGGCGGATGATGCATCGGCCGACGTTTCCACCACTCAGGTTCCTTCTGTCTCGTGGGCTAATCACTCACCGGCTCGCATGCACGTTGAACCCCCGGTTCTAAGTGCTTCTCAGGCATTGACACGGTATCGTGCCCCAAATTAGGACGGGGCCGCCAATAGCCGTGGAAAAAAGTTAAAAAATAAAAATAAAAATAAATAATAAATAATATCACCAAGCACAACGACCGAGGTCTGGGCCGGCTTTGCGATCAACAACGGAAAAGAATCACGCGCGCCTTAAACCTGCGCGCCCACGCACTCGCTATTGTGATCAACCATCCTGTCAGCGTTGTCACAGACGCAGCCACGCCTAACGCGGTATACTTAAACTTTAAGCCAAAACTACTTTCTGTCTCTCGCAAAAACCAGGGCGGATACCCTTGTAAGGGTATTCGCACCAACAACTTAGCGGACCATATTAAGCGACGTCCTCGTCGCTTCGCTAAATCAGAAGGCTATAAATCCATCCACATTCCAAATGCTGACGAAACAGGAGCCAATCCGATTAGCCGACAAACACAGGGTAGAGACCTCCATCAAACCATGCCTTCACAACTATATGCTGCCAGGTTTCTAACCTGGGTCTCTCACCATCCAGAAATTAGGATACTGGCAGCATAAGTTCCAAAGACCTTCCCAATCGTCCTCTCCCCGGTCCTATACAACCTTCGGCTTTTCGTTGGGTGTTCCCAGTCCTGGCAAAAACTAGGGACGCGGGCCTTAATGGAGACCTTTGGAAGATACTCTCGTCTTCCTCCTCAAAAAAATTCTCGCAATCAAATACACGCAAGTATATATGTATACTTAATATTCGCTCAGCTCTTACTGCAGTCTAGTACAGAAAGGCTAGGTCTCCACCTCGGCCCACCATAGCCTGGCTGATCGGACCAGGACCACGGCCCACCGCATTGTTATTTAACGGCAGTACCTTCGTTGGTTACGCAACGATAGGTTTCTTCCTGGTAAGCACTCAATCAAGATTTCCCCCAAAAAAATTCTCAATCTTTATTATCCTGCGGAGTAATTTCACTGGGGCGGGCACCCCCCCTTAAACTCTTACCCCGCGGTCCCGCATCCAGGTTGCGCCGGCTAGCAACCATCCAATGGGGTTACGCCCTAGAGGTACTAACTTATTTTCCGTTAGCTTGGCCTTTCTTCAATATGTCTCAGAATTAGCACTAGTGGTTAGACGGGGGCGTCGCAAAACAAAATCACTGGCCCACTGCGCGATCACGCAGGGGTCTGAAGGCATTTACCAGCCCTTCCACAATAGGCATGGCATCCTTCGCACGCTCACAAACAAAATCACAGCTAGGTCCACCAGGCCATGACCCCTGACTTGATCAGAGCCAGCAGCCACCTACTCTGAGACATCTTTTGCCTTGCACTCATTGCGACTTTCTCAATCATTCCAAACAAAAGTGACTCTTTTCGTCAGACTTTTATCACCCATTAAACAACTCGCCATGCCATAAATCAGTTTACTCACCTCTGAGGGTGAGTCTTCCAACCATAGACCATTCCCCTTYTCCAAAAATCCAAGGGGCTCTCATCATAAACAAAACACCCCCTCTTCCAAAAATCACGAGGGGTCTCGCCATAAAACCAAACTTCCCCTCCTCAAAACTCGAAGGGGTCTCATCATAACACACAACATCATAAAACATCCCCTTCCCAAAAATCCAAGGGGCTCTCATCATAAAATAAAACATCACTGAGGGACCATCTTATGGGTCCTCATCACAACTTAAACAATCAATAATCAACATGGTAAGCTTTTTGAGCCTAGGCTGCACTCCCTCCCCTTATACTCTGCCCTATCAGCTGCCCGTGGGCAGGTCGCACAAGTATACCGAGGAGTAGACAGTTTTGCTTACAATCATATTCACTGTACCTATGACAAAATAAGATGTTTTTCACACGTTGTCCACACAAACTCATCATACGTCAGAGTACAACCACACATGTGAGAGTGACAAGTGATCGTCATATATATGAATGGTCCTTGAAATAAAGTCTCATCATAATATACACTCAGGGAATAAAAATGCCTCACACAAAAAATATCTCCAAATCATAGCTTACTCCACTCAAGCCACACCAAACCCATACTGACAACTACCCCTAAAATACATGTCAGATCTGTCTCTCAAAGGCCAGGGCGTAGGCCACCTAAATATGTACATGCCTCATCTAAACCACCCTGACCCTCAAAACCCCAACTCAGTAGGAACACAAAAGTTCAAATCTACACTAGTAGCAATCATCAAAAAAATCCTCTAAGTCTAAGAGGGTATCACACAAACCCTAAGCTGATGCCTCACAAGATACTCGCCCACCTATATAGACAAACCGATACTATCTCCTCAACTCCTCCTGGTTTTGTCTATATAACTGAGCCCTAAGTCCATTTGCGGACTTCTCTACTATCCTACCCTGTCTATCATACATCTTACCTCCTACCTCTGAGACTGCCTTATCTTCAAGGAACTCGAGACAGTCCAGAGCATGATGCACGTTCCTCTTGCAGTAGAAACATAGGTGATCTACCTTCCTCTTGAACTTCTTCTTCATGGGCTGAGGAGGTGGCGATGAAGGAGATTCTACCAAGGTACTGACAACCTCCTGCTGCTCTGATCGAGGAGCTGCGGTACTTACGACCTCCTGCTACTCTGTCCCAGGAACCGGTCCCCCAGACCCAGATCCAGTAGCCCAAGATCCCAGTCTGCTCCTCAAATCCCTTGTCGCTGGGACGTACTCAGACGTGTCCAACCTCTGAGGTCTCCTCTCGAGTGTCTCTCCTGGCACTGTCGTGGGCTGCACCTCAATCTCCTCTGGTCCATACTCAGGTGTGCCCATCCTCTGGAGCCTGCTCTCGATGGCACCCTCCGCCTCAATCCCCATTTTTTTCTCAAGCGGCTCCTCTATCCTCTGCTCGGGTGAAAACAAACTCGCCTCCTCCTGCATGGTATGCACTGCCTCAAGGAGTACACCCATGGATCCCTCTGCTGACCCCTGAGCCGGCTCATTGCTAGATGGCGGTAGCCCCTCCTCAATCGCCAAAGGTACGACTGGGTCTGCCGCTGCCACTGGCAGCGTCACGAGCTCAGTAGGGGCTCCAAACTCGAATGCCTCTCTCTCTGCCTGTCTCTGGGCTCTCGCCTCCTTTGGCTCCAGGATAACTCTTCCCATAGGTGACTCCTGGCGAGGCTCTACCGTAGATGGCTGTCCTGACAATCCTTGTCCGGGCTGCCTCTGCTCTCCCTGCCTGCTGCTCTCTGGCTTGTCCACCTTTCCCTGGGTTTGTTGCCTCAGACTCTCAATGATAGCTGCCTGGCTGGCCACCAAGGTCCTGAGTTCCTGAATTTCCATCTTCATAGCCTCCCGACGTACTCCATGGCTTGCTTCCTTCATCTTTTTCCCTGCCAGATCGCTCTCCAATAACAAGCGCCGGTCAAAAGTGGTCTTGGCCAGGAACTTGATTTAACGATCTAACCTCTCTTCCGCCTTCCTGGCCACCCCAAACCCAGCTCTGACTGGCGATGGAAGCTCCTCTCCTCTCTGCTCCCAGAAGTCCCTCCACATCTCAGGGATCTCGGGGCCCTAGCTGGCACGCCGGGTGGCTGACCTGGGAGTGCTCCTGTTGCCTCCGATCTCTGCCTCTCCTGCTGCTGCTCCGGAAACTCCCCCGCTACCTCCAACCTCTGCCTCTCCTGCCATATCTCATCTATCCGCCTGGTTCTTCTCGCCCTCTTTTCTTCAGCCGTCTCTCCAGCTGACGCCCTTTCCCTCGTGCGGAGGTCGACCCTCTTTGGGATCTCTACCTCCATCTCCTTCTCGGGGTGGCACGGCTCCTGGCGAGGCTCTGCAGGTGCTGGCCCCTCCAGGTCTGGGTGCTCCAGGGCATGAGCTACTATGTGTCTGTCAATCAGGATCAAGGCTTCTCTCCTTACAACTGCCCTCTCTCTCCTCCTTTCTGCCCTATTTTCTGGCGAAGGAGCCTTTCCTGATGAAGGTAATGGGACCTCCTCACTCTGCAACCTCTCCTCTGCCTGCCGGGTGCTCCCTGGTGCATCCCCAAGTCTTAAACCCACTGCTGGCGTCTGTGGGGGCGTGTCCTCTCCAACCTCTATCACTTCCTTCCCTGCACGTCTCCCCTCATCGCCCAGCTCTCTCTCTCGCTGAGTACCCTGGACCTCCTCCTGTGGCACCTCCTCCTGTGGCACCTCCTCTGCCTGCTCTCCATGCTCCTCGCCCTGAGGCGATGCTCTCCACTGGGAGATATCCAAATGCGTCTCCAATTCCCTCAAGGGCCCCTCAGATGCTGGCGGCTCCTCCTGCGTGCGTGCTGGCGATCTCCTCAATCCACCCTCAGTAAAACGATGGAACTCCACTGGTCCCAACCCACACTCAGGGTACACCCCTCGCTCCTCAGCCTCTGGCTCCTGCTCTGGCTCCTGCTCTGGCTCCTCCTCTCTCCTGGCTAGGGCCTTCCATCCTCCTCGAGACGGTCTTGCCTCCCTGGGCTCTGGGTCCTTCTGCCTCTGACTCCTCTGACGCCTCTCAACTCTGGGCTGAGGGGGCTCTGGCCGTCGAAAGGCTTCTCTCAGATGTGCCCTGCAGCTCTCCCAGTCCCGGACCATGTCTCTGATTTGGCTAGCCAGTGGCCTTTCCGCCTTCCTGGTCCAGAGTGGTAGCGTCTGCATCCAATCATCTCTCGGTATGCCCTGCCCCTGCATGAACCACTCAAATGCGGGGATGAAGTCCGACGCATTTCCAATCTCCAGGCGGATCGGCCTGCCATCTGGTCCCACAGGCGAGGGTCGCAACTCCTCCATCCTCATCTCTACCTCCTGCCTTGTCGTCGCCTCCCTACGAATCCTGGCAATGGGCTCCTCGAACCTGCCTGCTCCCCTCAATCTCTCAATCGCCTGAGCCACGGTCCAGCCGATACGCCTCGCATGCTCCCAGAAACTGTCCAGGAATAACTCGATGTCCCCATCATTGTAGACCGGAGTACTCTCTCGATGGCGAGGCCCATACCGCTCATATCCTCCTAATGCGCCCAACGGTCTCTGAGGCGGCCGTGTCCCCTTCCCTCCTCTTGGCATGGCTGTCTTCGTAAAGTCAGACCTGCATAACAGGCGAAGGAGACAACAAACACACATTGGGGTAAGCAAAACAGGTGATAATCAAAGCAAGCTCAGACCAGGCCATACTCATGCAGCATGCATCCTACCTAACCTTACACACCCTATTACTTCTATTCCAAAGGCAGTCAGGTCACCTCTCTTACCTCTTCTCTCGCCACAAATTTCTTTAGTCGCGTTCTAGATACCCAATCCTTCCACTCAGTCCCATTTAACTCCTCAATCTGGTACGCTCCGAAATCTCCGACCCGTACGATCCGGTAGGGACCTAACCACCTCTTATCGAGCTTCCTGGACCATTGCTTCTATATTGATGAATCGTAGAGAAGCACGACATCCCCAACTGCCAAGGGTACTTTCCTTACCCGCGCAGACTAATGCCATCGAGCCTTATCGTCCATACGGCTTCTCGTCACTTGATCAGACGCCTCATGGATCCTTTCTTCTATCGCCCCTATCTGCCGCGCCCGAATATCGAGCAACTCTTCAAATGACAGGTTAACTTCCAGATCCTGGCGCCTCCATGTCTTAAGAAAGCTCTCGATAGGGAAGGTGGCGTGCCTTCCATACCACAGTGTCGTCGGTGCGTACTTGGTAGATCTTTTTACTGTAATGTTCTCGACAAAGAACGCCGCCCTTAGGTACCTTGGCCATTGATTAAGCCTACCTTCGGTCCACTTAGCCAGGAGACTCGTAATGGTACTATGTCCTCTCTCTACGGGAGCATTTGCCTGGGGGTGCGCGGCCGTGGTGTAGTTGGCTGCCACACCATACTTTGATAACAGTTCTTGTACCTCCTGGCAGGTAAACTCTGATCCCCTGTCCATTACGAATTCCCTGACGAAAGGATAACGCAGGTAATATTCCTTGATGCAGCTTACTAAGACTAACCCGGTCTTGGTGCGAATAGCACACCCGTCTATGAAACCAGACAGGTTATCGCACGCATCGAAGATATAATTATAGCCTTGATCCCCAAGCGGCATAAAAAGTAGGTCGAGATGTATTACAGCCCCCACCTCTCGCTCTAACCTTGGATGCAACGACTCTCCTTGCCTTAAACGGGATTTCTCCTGGCAAGGTACGCAAGATCGGCAGAATTTCCCGACCATGTCCATCATTCCATCCCAGTAGTACAACTCACTTATCTTGGCATACGTAGCTTGTACCCCTCGATGCCCTCCTGCAATGCCATCGTGAAGCGCTGCTATGACGTCGATCTGACGATTCCTACCGCAGACGACTCTCCTGGGATTTCCCACCTCTCTTCTTACGAAAAAGTGGCTGTCTCGCACTAAATAGCGCTGCAGCATCCTCTGAGCCCTATCGCTTGCATCCCTTAGCCGCATTTCACATGACAGAAGAAGCCCCAGCTCTAGGTAGATCCTGTCGTACTCCTCTGCACGAAAAGCCTCCTTAATCTTCCCCTCCTCGAACTCGTCGTCCCGACTCTCGGACACTTCGTCCACATTTCCTGTCGAGTTTAACGAGCCTGACTGTTCGAGGCCTTCCTGCAATAACGTGTTGACGAGGAGATACATTCCTCCCATCAGGTCCTCATGTCGTTCTACCTGGCCAGGTCCTTCCTCAATCGTTCTCATTTCCTCCACCAGGCTATGCGAGCTGGCTAGCGCTAGCTCCATCATCCACTGAACATCCTTACCGCCCCAGGGATCTTCTTCCTCAAAGGGCTTAAGGACTAGCTCATTCCTCCATTCATACCCACTTGGCGTTTGCCAGATAGGATAGCCTACACAGCTGGGCACTCGCGGCGACCACTTGTTAATGTGGAGACGAACATCTTCTTCCTGATCTAGAAATCCATCAATTGGGAGCATATTCTTCACCGCCTCCCCTTCCTGTTTATCCCTGTTGATCGGACTCAACCCGTCCGCCCGGTTCTTGCTACCAGGAATCCGTTCCAATTCGAAATTGAACATCCAGATGTACGTCAACCATCTGGCAACCGTCGGATCCGATGGAACGTAATTCCTTAGAGAGTAGGCCAGGGCGGTCGGATTCACTCTCAAAATAAACCTCTTGCCGAAGATGTAGTTCCGGAAGATTCGCAGGCAGTGGAGGACAGCAAGGGTCTCCCTTTTGAACTGAGAGTAATTCCTCTCCGTCATACAGAGAGTCCGGCTCTCAAATCGCAAGGGTCTTTCCTTACCTTCCATGTCTGCCTGAATTAGAACTCCCCCTAAGGCAGTTGGCCCCGCACTTGTTTCGACAATGAAGGGTCGTGTTTCTGTAGCATCATAATCTGGCGCTCCTAACACCAACCCTCCTTCTCGAAACTCCTCCTTCATTCTGGCCACTACCTCTTCTTGCTCTTCCCCCCAAACCCATTCCTGATCCTGGCGAACTAACTTCCTCAGATGTTCAGTCTTAGCGGCAAAGTTCTTGACGAAGGCCCTCCAAAATTCACACGTACCAAGGAAGCTCCTGACATCAGTTATTGAGTGGAACGGAACCGACCACTCAGTAATCTTGTCCGTCTTCTTCACATCCGGCCTTCGGCCCTTCTCGCTGCAGACGAACCCCAAAATAGTCGCTCCCCTCATGCAGTGTCTGGACTTGGCCCCGCTCGCCATAAGGTTATGCTCTTCGACCAGGCTCATGACCTTTTCGAGGTCCTGGATGTGTTTCCAGACAAAGCGCCTTATCCCTGGCGAGACTTCGTCGCTCTCTTTCGCTGCCGGCCTCTTCACTGCCAAATCGTCAATGTATGGTTGTGTGATATGGGGGCTGACTGACTGCATAGCCCGAATCATGGCCCGTTGGACCATTGCTACTGCGTTGGTCCACCCTTGTGGGGCCACATTCACGTGGACTAACCCTCGCGGCGTGTGCATAGCCGTCACCGGCCTATCCGGCGGGTAGACTGGGAACTGATCGTATCGTGAGTAAAGGTCTATAAGAGAAATTATAGGCCTTCCAGCACAGGATTCTGACAGCGCGTCTGCATTCGGCAGTCCTCCAGCATCTCGCACAGTCACCGCATTCAGTCCTTGCAAATCCTGCACCCACCGCAGCATCCCGTTAGGCTTAATAAAGCAGAACCACGGGGACGCATACGGTCCACTCGAATAGTCGGCGACGTGAGTACGTATCTTGTTATCGAGGTAATCCACCACCTTCCTTTCCTCGTCAGGATTGGGATATCGCGCCCCTCTCATGTTCTAAGGCTCGTGTGACACGGTGTGGATGCGGATCATAGGTATCTTGTCCACATCCAGCCTGCCACGCTCCTCGTCATTAAACGCATAGGCGCGATGCTTCCTCTTCATTAATTCCACCATCAACGTTCGCTCCTGAGGCAGCAGGAAGTCAGACTCCCCTATGATCAACTCCTTCTCGTTCCCTTCGTTGATACGACAAGGCCCTGCTAAAGCACTTTCCCTCATTCGCCGTATCAACCCTCGTTCCCTCTCGTAATATGCTTCCTCGTCTTCTGTAACGAGGACGGGAACCGGGTGACACTTCTTGTCTACCGTCTTGTACCGCCTTTGGGAACCCTGCTTGAGCCGTCCCCTAAAAAAAGACGACTCACGGATTGTGTTTGCGCTGATGCGGGGTGCCCTCCGCTGCCTGGGAGCTGATATACCAACTCCAACCTTCCTGCCTCGGGACATTCCAGAACTTGCTCCCTCAAGACCTGGATGGCATCCGGATCTGCCATCTCATGCGCGGCCACCAGGTCCATGGCCTTCCCAACATCCGACAGGCTGAGGGAAAATGCTTTCACCCTCTCTCCTGCTTCAGGCTCTGCTCGGAGCCTCATGCGCTCCTCTTCTGACTCCTCAATTGTGAATGATCCTGGATTGGGCCGGTTCCTTATACTCCTTGGCCCGGTGTTCCTGCAGATAATTATTTCGTAATTCCCGCAGACAGGATTGCATAAGAGAAGGATTAGAGTCCCGTCATGTTTGTTGAACATCACGGTCTCTGTCCTGCTTAGGAATGACCTCCCAGGAGGATTCCATGGTCCACGTCCGACATTATGAAGAAGCATGCCCTGACCTTCACCTTTCCAACCTCGATGATCACATTCGAGGCTGTCCCGCAAAACACGGCCTTACAGCTGGCTCCATGCAGAATACCGCAGTCAGAACGGTCTATATCCAGCCCAAATCTGATTGCGTCCGCCTCCCGAATGATGTTCATTTCGGCCCCGGTGTCCACCATTGCCGCACACTTGGAACCCTTCACCACCAAATCCACCGTGCCGCAGGCTACACACTTCCAGTTCATTTTCGTCCCCGACTTTGCCCACTCAGCCTCATTGGGCAGGATCGTACCCAGATGGACATTGGGTACCAGGCGCCACGACAATCTCCCCTTCAGTTCATCGCGGAGTCGCGGCGCTGACGCTAGGATTTCCTTCAGGGTCATGAGGTCATTATGCCCTTCCAGCAGCCTGTCAATTACTCTCTCTACGTCAAATCCCTCTTCCAACCGAACCACGTATTTCTTCTTTTTGGGTGGTCCGTCACGTATGACTGGCTCGGCCTCTCCCCTGGTTCCCTTTTTCCTCGCCCGCTGCTCCGTTCTCTGATCCTCTTCTCTGCGCAGCCTCTCGTCCTCTTCCTCTTCATCATCATCGTCCTCTACTTCCACAGCCTCTTTCCTTCTCCTTGGTTCGGGTTCCCTCCTCGGAGGCTCTTGGCTGGCACTGGCCTTGGCTTGATTTCTCGTTCTCGCTGCCTGTGCCAGCCGGGCCTGCGGAGTGAGGGGCCTCCCCCTCATTCCCGATTGTGGGCACGATCCCACCACATTTACTCCGAGTCGCCCAGGCGCCGACTCCGGGCCGGAGTCATAGAGGAACACTTTGAGGATGTTAGACCTCCTTCCCTTCACTTCCTCACAGAGGCCCACCCACTTCTGTTGGTACCTCCCTATCTTATCCAGCAGGTCCTCTATCTTCCCAAATAAGACGGACGGAGGCTCCATTCTTTCCTCCTCATCCTCGTCATCTGACTCGATGATTATGGGCTCTTCCGTCTTACTTCCTCCTCGTAGCCCTTGAGCCACTTCCTCATCGCTCCCCACTTCCTCTATCCCAATCGGTGGTTCCTCCTTTTCCTGCCATAGCCTGAACATGGCAGGGGGTGGCGGCCCAGCTGCCGCTCGTCGTTGGGCTTCAACCCTCACTCCTCCAAGCCTTCTGTCAATGACCTCCCCAAATTTATCGTAGATATTCCCATCCATAGTGGAGGAAATCAGTCCGCTTCTCTCGTCTTCCCGTCTTATATTACAGAACCTTATAGTGTGGCCTTGCTGGTCACAATGTTGACAGATGGCCGTCCTCCAGTCAAAACGGGGTCGTCCATACCCCTGACTTCCCTGATCCCGCTGGCCTTGATACCCCTGGCCTTGGTACCCCTGGCCTTGGTACCCCTGGCCTTGACTCACTTGGCCTTGGTACCCCTGGCCTTGATTCCCCTGACCTTGGTACCCCTGGCCTTGACCATTCCATTGCCTCCCTCTTCCACCGCCATTCCTGCCTCACCCCCTTCCTCCACCCCTCCCTCCGTTGCCTTGATTGCCTTGCCCCTGGTTCCCACCTCCTGCCACACTGCCCTGTGAACTAGGAGCAGGTGACGGCGGCGGGGCCACAGGCTGGGCCTGGGCTGCGGGGTAGATGGGCGGTGGCATACTCGTTGGCGGTCCGGCTACTGCCGGCGAGCTTCCCCATGGCACAATTGCATTGATCACCGACCAGGGCCACTGTCCGTAGGAGGGCGCCCCACCTTGCGAGAGACCCGTACTAGATGATGGAGCCGCCACATTTAAAGGGGTTGCTGCCTCGGCCTGAGGCGCCTGCGCTTTTCCTGATCCCTGTCCGCCCTGCGCCAAATTACGCACTTTGCGCTGGACCTTCGTCAGGTGCTGCGGCACTGGCTCTTCCTCTTCCCAGAGCTCCTCCTGAACAGCCTCCTCTATCACCGGCTCCTTTCCTTTCACTTTGACAGCCGTCACCACCCTCCTTTGCACCACCGGCTCCGTCGCATACCCTAGCTGTGCCAACACGTCTGTAACAATCCTTGTTACCCCCTGGGTCCCAGAAGCAGTCGCATCTCTTTCCTTTCTCTTCTGCCTTTGCAGGCGTACCTGACGTTGCTCCACCTGGTCCAAACACCCAACTTTCACCCCTCTGTCAATGGTGGCCCAGGTGAGCTTAGTGCTACCTCCTCCATGCCTCGTCAACTCGACGGCCTCCGATGCCGTGAGTAGCCCCAGGAAGATGGCGCATTGTGCTTCCTCCGAAATCCCATRGACCTTCYGCRCTCTCTTCTTAAATTMTTGAACAAAGRCCCCTATTGTCGTAAAATCCTCTTTGTTCATCGCCTCAAGGTCTGCGGTAGTCAATAGCCCGTCTCCCAAGCGGTACTTCCTCTGCATCCCCTCCTTAAACCTCTCCCAGCTACCTTGAGCCGCATCTATGACTTTCTTCACCTCCTTATGGTAGCTGTGGAGGACATACTGAAGGATGCGTTGAAACTTTACAACATCAGACCGCCCGACCAAAGCTTATTTCACCCGCTCTAGCCATTATGAGACTCTCTCCCCACAGAAATGGAAAGTATCGACCTTTGGGATGTTGCTCGGGTTCCTTTCATGTCGGTCGATGACCACGATGAGGTCATCGAGTGTCAGACCCTTCTTGGGAGCAACTGATGAGCCGCCAGTCTCACGCATCTTGACAGCCTCTTCTTTTCAAGTTCCTTGATTAAAAAAAAACAAGCACATCTCCTTATTCAACATTATACCATGACCAGTCTATTTCATCCGTCCTACCTAACTCTTACTACGTACCTTTTCCCAATCCTACACGTTCACCCTTCATTCCTTCCCTTACTCAGGTAGGTAAAATTTCCTTACCTATACTCAATCGCTCATTATCTTCCCTCACTTCCTCGTCCTTCCTTTATGCCTTTTCTCATTCACTTCTCATACCCGGATGTCGTTCCACGAGGGACAACGGTAGGCTTTCCGTTATCCCCGGCAACGGCGTGACCTGTCGAGCGCATCGGTCCGGCACCTCACATGGGCAGGGCGGGACCCTCCTGGCCGCGTCACACAGGAGTTGGTTTTAAATCCTTTGTCGCAATATATACGGAGCTTCCTTAAGCCGCTCCGGCCGAGTGCGCCAGCCATACCTCTCGCGAGCCCCTACGACAGGATAGGGCCTACGCGAGGCACGACTTACCTACACCTTACGGGAGCTGTCACCTCCCTTCTGTGGGCGTATCCCCGCCGAGCTACCAGTCCACAGTACGAAAGTTAATCAGCTGCAATCGCAGAGGTAGACCAGCCGAGGGCGTTTCTCGTTCGCTATAGCATAGGGGGTACACGCGGTAATACGCCTCTATCGGACCCGCACGCGAACCGACATCATGGGGGGCTGAGGTCCCAAGCGCGGTTCGTCGTTGGTCGACTAGGACGTTTCCCACACACCACGCGCACTCCACTTTACGAACACACATACCCACAAAACAACACATATACGAAACGACAGAACACAACAACGCGACCACACTCCTAGCCCCTCGGTATCCAACCCATAACTTTCCAATGCGGAAATCGTATAGGCGTCGCGCACGAGACTCAGTATAAAACCGCGCGGACGCAGGGCTATCGCATATCGACTCGCAATGCAATTTTACGCAAGCAGTCGCAATGAAGGCGTACTATATGGTACCCACACTTGCGCGGTCCCTGTTAATCGCGAGGGCCGCGTTCGACACTCAAGTGTCGGCTGACACTCGCCTTGAGGGTTAATCTCTCGACGCTGGACAACCGCCACGCGCGGTTGAAAACCACAACCTCTTCTGCACCCTGTGCAGAGGGGTTGAGTAGACAGCTTTAAGCTGTCGTGGCGGTCGAACATCAAGGGGTTTGACTTTGACGGCGGCACTATAACGTCCAACTATAAAAACTCCAAAGAGCAAAAGATAAGGAATGGGCCGAAGATTCCCTGCCTAGTAAACAAAATCATAGCCCTGGGGTACCCTCCCTTTTTCGCGCGGCGTCGGCGGCCTATAACAATCTCAAACATTTGCCAAATATGTATCGGTCCCTTTGTAATCCCATAACTTTTTACACACCAGGGCGGTAACGTCGCGCGCGGGATTTTAATATAAAGTTGCGCAGCCGAGGGTCTACCTCATACCAACCCGCAATGCAGGCATACGCATGCAGTCGCGACGATGACGTACTATGTAGTATCCATAATCAAGCGGTCCCTCGTGGATCCGAGTACCGCTTATGACACTCGAGTGTCAGACTCGAAGTGTCGTGAGGGCCTAACCCTTCACGACATTGCACGACTGAAGGAATAGTCGTGCGGCCGCCACGGCTTCTCCGACTCTTGGCCTGAGTGTCTTGGTAGGCAAATCAAATAGACTCTGCGCGAGGGAAAACCCCTTCCCTGCAAAGCCTAGGGCTTGGGACGTCCGACTAAGAAAAATCATCAAAAAACAAGAAACAAAAATAGAGGGAGAGGCTTCCCCTAGGGCTCCTTAGCCTTAGCTTCTGAGTAGGGCTTTAATATGGGGACTCTTCAACCCATGCAAACATTCATCCCAAGTATACCCATGTATACATGTATAAGGGTTAAGTATGTGACGATCACTTTTCATGGTCTCACTAGGGTCTCTCACAATAGTACGTATATGTGTGATTGTAGGCAACTAAATCCAAAATCTGATTCACAACACATAACTGCCATCACATCAACAAACCAAAGCAACAACCCACATACTACACGAAGTCAACCCCAACCACCTTCGACATTCATACCCTTTGCTTTAGTCATGCAAACCCCAAAACCTCCTGTCCAACCAACCTTAATTAAATACTCAGCATCTTTGTTAAATGGCCATTTAATAAAAGTCCGGGTGAAACCTTAATAAAACAACGAAATCACCAGAGCTAAAGCCTTTTAGGTTGAGTGTGGAGGGAGAGTTGAAATTGAGTCGAAGGCCGACGAATCGGGAACCGACCTGTTATCAGTGATAACAGAAAGTGATCCTCAAAAGTATCAAGCTGGATCTAGCCCTGAACTTGAATCAAATGATCAAAGAGGCGTGTAACACACGGCAGACCAATCCCCAAGCTAAGATCATAATTGTATGGAGACTACAACTCCATAATTCATTCTCACTCAAGCTACTTGCCAACTAAGTCCAAGCCTAACTCTAAGCCAGTGCCCAAAACAGAAGTAAACTAATGGCAGAACCTCTCTTATTCAGGGTGGATTGCCAGAATCGCCACTTGTCGAAATATAATCTAACTCCTTTAAACTAAGAAAATTTCGGCAGCGCTTCCCGTAGGAAAAGTGTCTTTCCAGAATTTATATAAGTTTAAATATGAAAAAATATAAATAATTTATAACTATGGAAAGCCAAATTTTGTCCAACTCCCTGAATCAGTAGAAATTTGGGCAGCACCCCCTCTAGAAAATGAGACTTTCTAGATTTATACTAAGTCAGATATACAGCAGAAAAATAATCTCTAACTCCTGGAAAGTCA